TGTGTTTGGCATACCTCAGGATCATAGTAGAAAATGAAGCAGACAAGTCTCTGAACGTCTGGTGCCTCTGCATACCTGTATGGGTTGTGGAGGTGGGCAAGGGAGCACCCCTGAATCCTACCTGTTGTTTTAAACTACAGTGGTGCCTCACTAGACGATGATAATCCGTTCCACTGAAATCGCTGTTTAGCGAAATCATTGTCTAGCAAAAAGTATTTCCCTATTGGAATGCATTGAAAACTGTTTAATGTATTCCAATGGGGAAGAATCGTCATTGTCTAGCAAAGATCGGCCATAGGATAGCTGCTTTGCGAACCACCGATCAGCTGTTTAAATTGCTATCTTGCGAAGTTTAGGTCCTGAAAACACCTGTTTTGCGAGCACGGAGGAAGCTGTCAAAATCGTTGTCTAGTGAAAGTTAGTTTGTGAAGCAGGGACCAAAGATTGTCCAGCGAAATTCCCCCATAGGAATCACTGTTTTGTGAATCGCTATAGCGATTGCAAAAAGTCAGTGTTTGCGAAGAAACTGTCATGTGGGGTAACTGTCTAGTGAGGCACCACTGTATACAGAATGATGAACTGTATTGTGGTCATATATACAACGTAAACAAATTAAGTTAAAATCAAAAGAAAAATAAAGAAGACAAAAACAATGTGGCACTTTAAGACTAACTGCTGTATTTTAATGTGGGCTTTTGTGGACAAGTCCACATTTTCAGACATAATAATGGGACTGCATGGCAAGTATTTTATTTCAGCTGTCTCTCTGGATTCTTGTCCTGTAAATTACTGCAACTACAGTATTGTATTTCCTTCCCAAGTTATCAGAACCACCTTAGAAGCTTCAGTTGTAATCAGAAATACTCATTACCATGTTCTTCCTGATATATTATCTATAGCTTGCCGTTAATTTTGTTATCAGTCATTGTTTACAGACAGTGCTTCCTGGGAAAGGGACTAAATATCAACAGGGATCTTACGGGTCATTGCCAGGTGTGAAATGCGACACCATCAACAACTTGTGCCCAGGAAACGAAGAGTCTCTTAGTTTTGGAACTGTGTATAAACATGTAGCATGTAATCTCACATGTCTGAGGAGGTGGACTTGTTTGCCAAAGCTCACATTAAAACGTAGCAGTTAGTCTTTAAAGTGCCTCAACGTTTTTTGTTTCTTCTCTTTTTGTCCTAATAACCTAGCACAGACTAATGACTACATCTCCTGAAACAAGCAAATTAAGTTAACATACCATCACTTACAATTAGATAAACATGCTATAAGGAATATTTCTGGGACATAACATTTGGAAAGAAAAACTAGCAGTGATGATGTGTCATCAAATCAGTTCTGACTTACAGTGACCCTTTTCTGTATTTCCTATGTATAATGTGCTCAGAAATGGCTTATCAGTTCCTTCTGGCAGTGTTCAGGGAATGTGCAGCTTGCCCAAGGCTACTCAGGCTCATCTCCTAGGAGGCACAGTGGGGAATAAAACTCTTGGCCTTGGAGCCAAGTATTCCACTCACCAAGCTAGCCAGAAAGGAAAACGAAGCACCTCTTAAATGAACTACCTGCTTTCTTTTTGTCAGAAATGAGGAATCATTAGGAAGTGGAAGCATAATTATGAGGTATTAAATATGATTTGTGGGTTATCCTGCTTGTTTGAATATGTTTTGTAGGAATATAGCTAGTATAGATTGTATAATTAACCTGCTTATTCTGTAGAGAATTTCTCTGTGGCATTATGAGAACATACGTTTGGATTTGCAGGAAATATTTGTGAACCAGGTTATTGTGAATATGTTATTTACTGGTGTTGTCTTCAGAATTCCAGTACATTTCTCTGTAATAAAAAGTCTGAAATTGGCCCAAAATCTGTCAAGCCAAAAAGAACTTGAGTAAACTGGTTTGCAAGATTGCCGGTAAGCTTCTGCTCATGGCTGTTGGAGGGGATGTAATTTGTTTATTTTTATTACCACATTTCTAGCTTTGGTTTTAGAGACTTAGAAATTTAGAAAGGCACATATCTGGTGTGATATTATAAAGATTTCAAAATACAGAAGAAATGCTAGCAGATCCTCAACCTTTGTAAAATATGCACTTTGGCTCTGCAAAGAAAAGAAAATATATTGCTTAAGCCTTTACTGTGGCATAGATGGATTAATGTTTTTATTTGGAATTCTGTTTTGAAAAAACAAACAATCATTTTTTATGTAGCCTGCATATTTAAACACAAGCTGAGCCTGGTGCTCTCTGCTTACTGCATCTGAGATGAAAATGGCAGGGGCAGTCAGTGACATAGCTTGGTTTCCATGGTAGTGACTTGATGTTATGTAAGGAAGTTGTATGTACGCTGCCTTGTTGTCATGGTTCTGAGAACCTTGCTCAAACAGCTCTTTCCCAATAGGTGTGTTTCAGGAGGAACATTTGAAGTATATATGTTCAGACCAGGATCACCTGAAATAACGAGCAGGGTCCCACACTTGTTTGTGTCACAGATGGATATTATGCTAACTCTTAGTCCTGAAGAGATAAATCCTATTTTCAAGTACAAAGGTCATTTTTAAAATAACTGACTTTTCCTCATCTTCTGCAACGTCAGTTGAGATCATCTTTCTAAAAATATTTCACGAAACGTAGAAACTAGCTTTTCTAGAGACAATTGGATTCTTGCAAGCTGTGATATTTTTTTAAAAAATTGATACTGATCTACTGAAAATTTCCAAAAAGCATATGTGTGGCGCTTGACCTTGTTGCCCCTGTTTATTTGGCCCTCACAGAGGCTCACACCCTTTTCTCTTTTTGCTGCCACCAGGTATTATCCTCCTAATACCGATTATGTATGTTATGCACGTGTGCTGCCAAAGCTAAAGTTTATTGAACTTAGGAATCAGAGGTTTAATTAACAAATATTCTTTTATTGTCAAGTAAATCACAAAGGTAAATCACGTAGGAACTGTATTAGGTACTAACAAGGATTTGATTCTGTATTTGGTTGCAGGTACTTTTATTCTGAACTACTATATGCTTTTAATCAACATCTATCTTATATTATAATTTCATTCCCACTTGTTCAGTACAGTGGTCCCTCGCTTAATGGGCGCCCCATTTAACGACAAATCCACATAGCGATGAGGATTTTGCAATCGCATTGCAATGTTCCCTATGGGGAAAAATCGCTTTGCAATGATCATGGGAAGCAATCATCGCAAAGGCCCCATTTTCGCCCAGCTGATTGGCGGGGCTTCGGGATGGTCGGGGGGAAGCGCTTCCCCCCATCATGCTGAAGCACCGCCGATCAGCTGGGCGAAAATGCCGGCTTCGGCATGATGGGGGAAAGGGCTTCCCCCCATCATGCTGAAGCCCCGCCGATCAGCTGGGCGAAAATGCCGGCTTCGGGATGATGGGGGGAAGGGCTTCCCCCATCATGCCGAAGGCCTGCCGATCAGCTGGGCGAAAATGCCGGCTTCGGGATGATGGGGGGGAAGCCATCCCCCGCTGGCCTCCTGAAGGCCCCATTTCCCCCAGCTGATCGGTGGGGACTTTGAGAGGACTGCGGGGGAGCTCTCCCCTGCTGTCCTCCCGAAGGCCCCATTTCCCCCAGCTGATCGGTGGGGACTTTGAGTGGACTGCGGGGGAGCTCTCCCCTTCTGTCCTCCCGAAGGCCCCATTTTCCCCCAGCTGATCGGCAGGGACTTTGAGAGGACCGCGGGGCAGGGCTCCCCCACCCTCCTCCCAGAGGCCCCATTTCTCCCCAGCTGATTGGCAGGAAGTTTGGGAGGACCCATTTTCGCACAGCTGATAGGCGCACAGCTGATAGCCGCCTGCTGTGTTGCCTCGTTTTAGAGGCACTGAAAATGGCCACCCCTATGGAGGATTTTCGCTTAAGGTGAGTTTTTAAGCCCATAGGAACCCATTAAAATGGGTTTCTATGGGCTTTTAAAACTCGCTTAGCGATGAAATCGCTTAGCGATGTTTTTCCTGCACGGATTAACGTCGCTAAGCGAGGCACCACAGTATATACTAACCTTCTCAAATCACTCTCCTAACTCTTTCAGTTCAGTTCCCTCTCCTCTCTCCTAAACCCTAACTGCTGTTCCACATCCCCACTGTCTCTCTCTGTCTGTCTCTTCAACTCTTCTCTTGTTTCTGCCCCTCCTGTCTTCTCATTGGCTCTTCCCCTTGAGCTTCCAGTGATGGACAGGTGTGACGTGGGGATTCAAAGAGCATATGCTACCGCTTTATTTACATACAGTTGCACAAATACAAAAATCTTTCTCTCTTCCCCACTTGAACACATGAAATGTCAAAATTCTCAAAATGAGCATTAGAAATTGAGTGTGTGAGAAAAGCTATTGGCGGAAACAACAGTGTAATATTTGATTTCGAGGGTAGCAACAGGGATCTAAACAAAGTTGCATGCATTTCCTCCTATTGTTTTCTCTTTTCCTGTGAAAATTTTTTCTGCTTGTGGAAGTTGAGTGTTTCCAAGCTATAAAGTGCTATTATAATTCCATCAAATGCTTCATCAGTTTAATATTAGCATTAAATGCTTCAGTAGTAACATTATTCATGTTTTCAACCAGTTAATACTTTTTTTTTAGTTTAGTGCGCTGGGGGTTACAATGAACAGCAAAAAGAAATCATATGCATTGACCAAAGGAATTTCATTTTCAGCATTATATCTCAGTCTGATCTAAAGACTTAAAAAATTGTTTTTGTTTTGTTTTGCTTTTGTGAACATACAAAGCTACAGTACTTCATAGCACATGAGTCCTTTGGTCCATCTAGGACTATGTTGATTGTTCAGGCTGGCTCTCTTAAGGTCTGAGGCAGATGCCCTGGTTTTTTTTTTTTTCCTGGAGGTGGATTCTCTTGACTTGGAAGGAATCTTTGAATCTCTTAAGAAATGTATGTCAGTAGTTGTCCTTTTCTGAATAATTAGTTCAAATTAATGGTTACAATAAACTAAGCTTCCAAGTTTAATATCCTCCTCTTACAGATATATGGAGCCTGGGTGTTATCCTTTACATGTTGGTATGTGGACAACCGCCATTCCAAGAAGCAAATGATAGTGAAACTTTGACAATGATAATGGACTGTAAATACACAGTGCCATCTCGTGTGTCCAAGGAATGTAAAGAGTAAGTAAAATATTATTGTACACAGTGCATTGAAATTAAAATTGTAGGGCTAACAATTCAATAAAGAGCCAAGAGGTTGTACTGCTTAAGGCTAGGGTAGCCCCAGTTCACATCTCCACTCTGCGATGAAATTTACAGTGTAACCAGATGACAGTCCTGCTTTTCTATCTGACCTCATCCAGTGGATTGTTGTGTTATATACCACCTTGAGTTCCTTGGGGTGAAAAAAAAATCTATAAATTAAATAACGAAGTAGAATATTTTCTGTTTCCATTTTGAAAGCGTTCATTTATTAACTCTTTTTATATAACTGTTTTCATATTCATTAAACAATTTATCATGCATAAATGCCCTACTTGAAGAGACAACTTATTCAGACCTGGAGCCAGGAGGAAAATATGTGAAATGAAGCTCAAGAATCCCTTGGTGCCTAGAAACTGAAAATATTTTTAAACTCTTTTTCATTGCATCAAGCTATTTTCTCAATAGCAATATTTAATATTTTATGTTACAAGAACAGAAAGTTCAAGAACCCAATTCTGCTAAATAAAAATTGTGGTCTGTTTGAAATGAAAACTTCAGTTGACTTCTTAATTGTATTTTTCCATTTATTTATATTCATGATTTCTTTTATGACTACCATATTCAGGGTCAGTCACTCTGAATTTTTCTGACTCTTTTGAAATTAGTAGAAAGTAATTGAAAGTAAGTATACCTTGTACAGACATGGTTACATCAGAACCTTTCTATTGGAAATTTTCAGTGTTTCCCCATAGTATATATTTTGTCCTTTATTTTGTTCCTGTGCTACTGTTTGTTTTGCACATGTGCAAGGAACACCCATGATTGAGGGACAAATCGAAATTGTGAATGGAAACCTTAGCTTGTCATTTAAACAAAAAAGCTATAGTCCATACTTCCTGACAAATTAATTTGGATACCAGTGCAATACTTTCCCTTTAAGCTTAAGTAAGGCAGAGCAGGCAGAACTTCTGTTTCCCAAACCAGGATGATGTCCCTTGAATGTCTAACCAGATCTATTAGGTCATTATGAATAAATATTGTACTACAGGATAATGTAATTTTTCCCAAACTCCAGCAGTGGAGCTCAAATCAAGGTCCTGTTTCGGATGAGGAATCCAGCTAGGGAATATAGGGAAGAGTTTTGGGGAAACATTACATTGTAATCTAATGGTGCCAATGTGCTTAATCGAGCTATGTGTTTATTTCTAGTTTAATTACACGAATGTTGCAGAGAGACCCAAAACGAAGGGCATCTTTGGAAGAAATTGAAAACCATCCCTGGTTACAAGGAGTCGATCCATCACCTGCAACAAAGTACAACATTCCTCTGGTGTCATATAAAAATCTTTCTGAAGAAGAACACAATAGCATAATTCAGCGGATGGTTCTGGGAGACATTGCGGACAGAGATACCATAGTGGAGTAAGTTACCATTTAATTCCCTTTTTGTATTTCAGTATTGTTATACTAAAATCATCTTCTCTTTAGCAAGTAAGAAGATCTGTGTTGGGTTAAACTAATGTTCCTCTAGATCCCCATTCTGTTTCCATCAAATTGTCAGCCAACGTATAAGCAAAATATGAAAGCAAGAGATCTTCATTATTAGTTGTCTGGGATTCAGAAGAATATTTGCATGTCTGCATTATTTTTAAGTGGTCATATGCCACTTACGATATGGCAGACATTCAGAAAAAAGTATTTTTAATAAAGTATTGTAAATTCTTGAAGACAGATGACAAACTGAATTATGTATAAAGGGCAATTAAATGAATCATATTCATATTGTTTCTATTCAATTGGACTTTGTGTTCCTTATGCTGCTTCTAGGTTCTTTAAGTAGTGACCCCTCTCAGCAGTTTATTTTTTTCCCCCCTATTTGTAACTGGGTGGAAGGAACTGAATGTGTGCAGGCAAAAGGGCTGGGGAACTTTGTCTTGTGTGTCCCACTATTTTTTTTCCTTTTTCTGCTCTTTATATACAGTCAACCCTTGACTTACGAATGGTCGAAATGACTAGATAAGCGGGGTATAAATACAATACAATAAATAAATAAATTAATCCGTTCTGGAAGGAAGTTTGCATTTCCCATAGGAATGCACTGAGAACCAATTAATCTGTTCCGGCTGTTTTTGGTTCTTAGGTTGAGGGGCAGTTTGTAAGTTGAAGCATTAGTTCCCATAGGAACTAATGCAAAGCCAGTTAATCCATTCCTATCACTAGGGGCAGAATTTTTCTTTTCTTTTTTTAACCTAAGTTGGCGTAGGTTAAAAAAAAGGCAGGAAACCATGGAGGGAACGAAAGAACACTGTATAAAAAGAACACTTTTTAAATCAAGCACCTTTTACACCAAAACAGGCACCTTTTAAACCAAGCACCTTTTAAATAAAAACAAGCAGCTTTTAAAGCAACCAAGCACCTTTTCACCCAAGCAGGTTTCAACTCAAACCGAGCTCCCTTTTTTTTACCCAAGCACCGTTTAACCCAAACAAAGCACCTTTTAAACTAAATTTTACATTTAAAATCACAATACCAGGCAGTCCCAGGTCTCTCTTCCCACTCTCTAACCACTTGAACAAGCAAGGAAGCAGACAAGCAGCCTCTTCGCTAACTGAAAGTGCAAATTTCCCGCTTTCCCTGCCTTCCCCGCACTTTTTTTTCCATTCCTAACTCGAATCCAAGTTTGCAAGTCGAGTCCATATTTTCCTATCAGAGCGGTTTTTCGAAATGTTCGTAACTAGGGCCGTTCATAAGTCGAGGGTTGACTGTACTGTGATCCGCAGTTAACAGAGATTAGTGTATAGCGCATGGAGAGGTTGTTGGTTGAAGGCTGGGTTTCTACTGTACAACTTCTTGCCTAATTCTGATATGTAAACTCATTATGTGTGCTTTTTTAAAAAAAATGTGTCAAGTTATAATCTATATTCATTAGCATATTCAGTTGTCAAATAGTAAAGATGGCTGGCTGTGCCAGATGTAGTTTCCTATCAAGCCATTATAAAAAACATTCAGTTAATAAGTGTAAGTTCTTCAAACAGTTGATGTAAGCATAATATTTGTCTGTCTGCTGTCATGCTTAATGACTAAGCAGATGTAACTTATGCCCGGCAATTTGGCTTGGTGTCCATTCAGTTGATGAGCAGCCCCCTCATTCTGTGTTTGTTAAGTCCATTGACCAGAGAGAGTAAAATGCCAAATCTTACCTCTTGAAAGAAAAAAAGTAATTAACAGTGGCTATTCTATGAGATCATTTTCTATGCCCAGTGACTTGCTATTTACTTTGCTGCCCCTCTGTAGAGAAATGGAGAAAGGCTGTCTGAAATGTAGAATCTATGTAACTTTTCAAAGTAATCTGATCCAGCATGAGGAAGAATGTATAAAACTTGTAAAAAGATTCGGTCATATCTTTTGAATTGGTTTATTGACTTTCAGTTGCTTTTTGTTGTCAAAAATGGCAAGAGAGCATAGACTTGTTTTTCAGCGTATGGATATGTAGAGTTTGAGTTCAGTGTGTTGGAGGTTTTAATTATTTCTTTCCTTTACCTTTTTCCTGTATAAGAGTAGGAAGTGGTAGGCTACTAGCAGTGCCACCATATACTGAGGGGAGATTGGAAGGGTGTGAAAAAGGCCCATGCATGGTGAACAAATCTCTACTCCCCCCCAGCTACTTCCTGATCAAATAGCATCAATAAGGAGGGCTATCTGTTTGTTGTAGATAGCTGCTGAAACCAAAGAGGATTTGCAGCTGGTAATTGTACAATATTACTAAAGCAAAGTCTTGTATTGAGGAAGTTGCTGGAATATCTACTCAGTTTTTTGTGTTTCCCTTAATATAGCCTAGTGTGATTATTGCACTTGCCATGTTAGGACATCTAGTTTTAAGTAAGGCAAACACCATTTGTCAAGATGTCAAAAGCACTAATTTCTTCTTTTAGGGACTCTTATACATTCTCCATGAGGAACACTGTAAGTTGTGTTGGCTGCATGTCTGGTTTCAGAAAACCATTAATCTATGATATGTTCCATTTTAATTTTATTTCCTTTAGGGCTCTGGAAACTAACAAATACAATCACATCACTGCAACCTACTTCCTACTAGCAGAACGGATTTTAAGAGAGAAACAAGAGAAAGAAATTCAAACCAGATCAGCAAGTCCAAGCAATATCAAAGCACAGTTTAGGTGAGAATTAAAAGTACTCAATACAAAATGTAATACTTTTTAAATATTTAAAGTAACTTCCAGTCTTTTATTGATAATGTTAAACAATAAAAAAAATTCTAAATATGTTATAAAATTAGTGTAATTGCTAAAAACATGTTGTTGGTAGCTTCTGAATGACAGACTATGATTAGCTCAAAGACCTTTAGCAGTCAAAGACTGCTAACCTCTGCTGTAGTTTGGGAGTTGGAACCATAGTAACCTTCAGCACAGTTATGGAAAACGTTTCATGGGAGATTGCTCCTTTTCTTCTTCCCCCCACCCCAGGTCATGATTTTGCTATGGTCAGCCTTTCTACCATCAAATACATAATGTCAGTGACATTTGAGAAAAACCACAACAACTTGCATTCCCTTTTATCACTATATAGCAGCGGTGGTAAACCTATGGCACGTGTGCCACAGCTCGCACGCAGAGCCCTCTCTGTAGGCACATGAGCCATAAGTCACCAGATTGGTACCCCTGGCAGCCAAACCTGAGGAGGCAGCTACAGCCACAGTGCTAGTGCCCCGATAAGTGGCGGGTCAGGATCTGGAGCAGCTGGTGCTGGCGGGGGTTGGGCATGACTGGAGGTGGATCTGGATTGGGATCTGGAGGCACCTCTGTGCCTGGGATTCTCCCTTCCACCGCCACTTCCACTGCCACCGCTTCCGCCACTGCCTGCTCGTTCCCTTCCCCCCCCCCCAAGTTTGGGCGCTCAGGCTCAAAAAGGTTCACCGTCACTGCTATATAGGTTATACCTGTAGCATTGAATGAATAAATATTTCTACTATTCCAGATCCTGCTGCCTGTTCTAGGCCAAAGAACATGCAGAACTTTCCAAAACCAAGAAGGACAGAGCTAGACAGGTCTTGAAGTCCATGCTTATCCTTTCCTTGGATGCAGTGTGGGAAATGTACTGGATCTTCTTTCCTCTTCACTATGCTTCTTCCTTGCAGTACCTCTATTCAAAGCAGGCAGATGAAAAGCAAGTTAACAAGTTTTAGATATATTTTGTCACTTTGTCATAGGGATAGTTCAGGTACGAAAGCAGGAGCAATTAGAAAAGGCAAAATAAATTGCCAGGAAGTCCAACTGTATTTAATTTTAGAAACAGAATAGTTTAAGAAGCTGAAAGGTATAATTTGAAGAGTCCCTTCAAGAAGACTGACGTCTGTTTAAAACCGCTATAAATAAAAGGCTAAAATAAGATGTATACTTCTGAAGCGCACAGACCAGTCAAGGTACACACCATTGTGGTTAAAAATTGCCATCAAAGAGTCTGTAAAAAGAAGAGTTTATTTTAAAAATTGGAGGCCATCTTGAAATGAAGAAAATAACTGACAAACAGGATGAGATTTGGTTATGTGTTTAAATCTCAGACTTGAGACACTGATAGCATATTTCCACTTCAGAAAGTGGTCACAGATAGGGTGGGGGAAAACAGACTGGGTCTTCCTTAGTTATATTTTTCTACCAAAGGTCACTATTTCCAAAGTTGCCATTTGATCCATTTTTAAAATGAGTTTTAAAAAGAAGCAGAATAAAATTGCTTCAGCCGAGGGTCATTTTCTGAGAGGAAAAAACTGCTGGGGAAAGGATCTCATCCCTGCCCTTAGCAGTCCCAAACAGATTTGTGGAGAGGCATGGCTGCTTGTGAAGAAGAAGAGATGTAGCCAATCTCAAGCATGGGATTTACAATTTAAGTTGGCTCTAGTAGTTTGATCCTAATGTCAACCCTGCAGTGTATGCTTATCTTGTAGTAGGTCACTGAAACACATTCTGGAACATCAAATTTGAAATGGACAGAAAGACAATAAAAGGAAATCAATATTTTTAGATGTTTCTGTAGATGCACCAGAAACAGAAAATCAGTAGGATTGTAGGAATGCGGTAAGAAAACAGGAGGAAATTGAGTGGTTGGTGGGATTGAATGGAACAAGACTAGAATCATGGGCCTTGAAACAATCTTCTGAATACAGCTGGAGAGTGATACTTGGACTGGAAATGTACACCAAGAGCATATGTTTAAGGGACTGTTTTCTCACTTTACTTTGACTTGGCCTGCTCCTTGGTCAATGAAAAACATGCAGAAGGCACTGTAGGATATCTGACATGTTGGTTAATGTTGGTTAAGCAACATTCTTGAGGACTACAGGATTATATTCATATTCTCTTTATTTGGATGGGCTTCTATATTTCTGGGACTCCAGAACATATTTGTCTCTTGTTGGCTGGATTTTTTTTAAATGGTAGTCTCAAAGCTAGTTAGTAAAGTCCTACAACTTAATTAGCTGCTCCCCTTGAACATGGGAAACATCAAGATATTTCTTTGAACCATAGCCATTGAGGTTTGTGGTGATGGTTTCAGAAGTTGCTCAGTATAATTTATGTTGGGGGTACTATAGCATTTGTTAGCCTGAACATGCTTTCTTGAACGTATCTGTGAAGATTCTCAGTCATTCAGGTGAGATTATCTGGATGCTGAGTCAAATGTTTTGCTACTCATCCAAGTAGCTTCTTCACTCTGAATAAGCTACTTGATGAGTAGTGAAATGTTTCAGCCTCATAAGAAAGTTCAGTTGCCATGACTCAACATCCAGATACTTTCTGAATGATTACTCCTTTTAACCTACTAAAACATTTGTCTCTGACTTTGCCTGATTTTAGCTAAAGACCAGAACTCATTTTTGAATTAACTACAGTGTGAATAAGCTTAGGTAGTGGAGGGGGTGTGTGGTCTAGGTTTTTCCCCCTATGTCTTTAAGAATGACTTCTTAAAATACTTTTTGAAAGATTGTGGAAGAGGATTCATGATAATTTTTAAAAAATATTAAGGAATTATAACGAGTCCTTTTCCTTAAAAAGTTGTTTTCTATGAGAGCTACAGATTCAGAGACATCATCTGTGGAGCTTGAATATGGACATGTTCAATGGAATCAATGCTTTTTCTCTTCTTTACACACTAGACTCCCAAACTAAGTCACAAATTGGTTTTGAAAGTCTCCTTATTTTCAGAAGAAGCTTGAGATTAGTTTGAAGGTTGAGAAATCAGAGCCCAATGGTGTATTAGTTATGTTGCCTGGAGGAAGAAATTTTTCTCTTCTTCATGGAGCCAAGGAAATACAATTTAGAAATTTAGTTCTTTGTTTCCTTAGCCAGTTTTAGAAGTAGATTTCACATTTTGCTATAAATATTTTTGTAATAATGCTTCTTGTGATGCAAGGTTGACTTTAAAGAGTTTTCTTTGCTCTTTTTGGTTCACTAAAACTTCATTTTCTTTTTTCCCAATATTTCACTTACTGTAGGCAATCATGGCCAACCAAAATTGATGTTCCTCAAGATTTAGAAGATGATCTTACAGCTTCTCCTCTGTCCCATGGAGCTGTTCCTCAGTCTCCTGCTCGCACTGCTGAGACTGTTCTGAATGGTCACAGGAGTAAGGCACTTAATGATTCAGGAAAGAAAGAGGATATTCCTGAATTAGCTGGATCAACACTTTCTGTTGTTCCTTCAGTGAGCTTAAAGCCTACAACTAGTGGTCGGAAGTGCTTGTTTAGGGTAGAAGAAGATGAGGAGGAAGAAGAAGAAGATAAAAAAACTGTTTCCCTTTCAACTCAAGTTGTTCTGCGACGGAAGCCTTCAGTTACAAATCGTCTTACTTCCCGAAAGAGTGCTCCAGTCCTCAATCAGATCTTTGAAGAAGGAGAATCAGATGATGAGTTTGATATGGATGAGAACTTACCCCCTAAACTTAGCAGGCTAAAAATGAATATTGCTTCACCTAGCACTGTGCATAAACGTTACCACAGAAGGAAAAGCCAGGGTCGTGGGTCTAGCTGCAGCAGTTCAGAAACAAGTGATGATGATTCAGAAAGTAGGCGACGTCTAGATAAAGACAGTGGCTTTACTTATTCCTGGCACAGGCGGGACAGTAGTGAAGGACCACCTGGGAACCAAGGAGATGGCAGTGGACAAGGAAAACCAAGCAATGGAAATGGAGGGTTGGACAAAACAAGCCCTGGTGATAACAGTAAAGGAGGTGGAAGTCCTTCTGGTAGCTCTAGTGGAAGCACGAATAATAATTCTGGTTCTACTCGTAGGTGTGCTGGATCTGGTAATTCAATGCAGTTGTCTTCAAGAAGTGCAGGTGACCTGGTTGAAAGTCTCAAATTGATGAGCCTTTGTCTAGGTTCTCAGCTTCACAGTAGCACTAAATACATTATTGATCCCCAAAACACCATCTCCTTTTCCAGTGTTAAGGTGCAAGAGAAATCAACATGGAAAATGTGTATAAGTTCTACTGGAGGTGTAAATCCAGTTTCATCTTTGGGCAGCATAAAATTCTTCTCTGACCAAATGTCAAACACCACAAATGAATTGGAACGAATCAAGAGCAAAAACTTGAAAAATAACGTGCTACAACTACCTCTGTGTGAAAAAACAATATCTGTGAATATTCAGCGAAACCCGAAGGAGGGACTTCTGTGTACTTCGGGTCAAACTACTTGTTGTCATGTTGTTTGACAATACCCAGATTTAACTCATTCTACTTGATATCACCAATCTTCCTGTTCAGAGCTGTGAATACTTTGTTTCACTGAACCCCTTCAATGTTGTTGTCTTAATATTTTAAAATGGGCTTTGAGCAGTAATTTATTATGTTTTAATTTAGTTTTGCTTGATATGACAATGCATGATTTTGTGCATGCTGCTAGCAAATACTCTTTTTGTTCCCAACAAACCAGGATGTGTGTAATTTTTTTACATTTATGATTTTACTATAGAAAATCTGGATTACAGTAAGATTTGTGTCTAAATCCAGTGTAAATGAAGCACTTAATAGTTTTACATTCTGCACTTAAATGAGAGAGGGGGGAGAGCTTTTGTTTCTTTGTGAAATGTACAGTTTTGTTCTGATCTTACCCAACTTTACCTGACTGTGTGAGATGTGGCATAATTCTGTGTGTTTGCAACAGAACCAAAGCAATAATGTTTTGATGCTGAAAACTCTTCTGGGAGGTTTCAGATTTCCAAGGCTTGTACAAAGCAAAAATGCACTGAAAATTAAGAAATCTTGAACTATTGATTTTTAATCCCACATCTTTGTCTTAAACTAATATGCATAAGGTGGTGGCTGATCTGAAGATCTTGCTTTGATACAGGCAAGATTAAACATTTCTAAGGCAGCTTTTTTCCCCATATAAATATTGTTACATGCAGACAATCTTTTTAAAACTATAAAAGGCAAATTAATTTGCTTGGAGTCTTTTTTCCAATCTAAGGGAAAATACATTCTTTATTGATGTATATTGTGGCATTTGTTAGGTAAACTGCAAGATATTTTAGTGGACCAATTCGTGTGACTATTAAGATCTTTTCCAGCAAGTCACTTCAAGTTCGTAAACCAATCATAACTACATCATAAAAGGATTTATGAAGTTTGCATTTTCTCAATCTGTGCTCCATCCTGCCCTTGTAGCATTCACAGCCTAGTTTCAATATTATTAGAAATTTCAAGTACTGATTATTTTAAAGATGAAAACGTTTATCTCTTGTTTCCCACTACTTCCAGCTAAACAAATGAATGGGGGGCTCAAGATAGCTATTATTCTGGTGTAGTGTGATATTGAAAGGGCTTTAAAAACACACCTGCATTTAGTCATTTGTGAGACATGTTAAGTGAAGTTGTGGAGAGCAGAAACCATTGGTGGAACTGGGTCTGTTCGGATTAGTGAAGAGCTGGGACTGGAGTGCATTTCTATTATGTGATGTAAGTACACTCCGTAGATCTCAGGATACAGCACAGAATAAATTAACAAAAAAATCAATAAATTCTTCTGATACCAAATTTAGTTTGGAGTACAATTTTTTTAATCCCCTTCAATAACTCTCTCTAAATCATGTCAGATAAGACAAGTTGGCATGGATTGATTTCCTTTTACTGCTATTAGCTGTTATGTGTTTTTAACCCTTGCTATGGAAATGACAGCAAATGAAAGTGTTGGAAGTTCTTTTGTACAAAGAAATACTTTTGACCAGATGAACTAAATTTTGTGAACTTTTATCTAGAGTAACATAAATTGCAGATTCCCAACTTGGGAATGGCAAAAACATGTGTTCATGCTCTGTGCACTGGGTCTTGAGAGCAGTGCTGGTAAGAGTTGATGGTATTATGTATCAACACAGACAGGCACAGATTGTCTGAGACAGTTTACATAGCTCAGTATCTTAATCCTAGCAAAATGGTCAAGTACAGTGCATTTCATTAACATTGTAGACTGTAGAGCACCAAAGACTGTTATCTTTGTGGTTTGTTCTTCACACTGGCTTTTTTAAAAAGTATTGTAAAGGTTGTTTAATAAGTAATCTAAAACATTTACTGGGAAGCAAGTTCCATCAAATTCAGGATGGCTTACTTCCAGGTAAATGTGATTAGAATTAGATCACAGTGTATTTTAATATCTAGCCTATTAAGATTTTCTTCCTTTCCATTTCCCAAGTGTAATAAGGTATCAGTGTAATATTCTGGTTTTATAATTTAAGCTATTGTTGCAATCTGGTTTGAAAACAACCTGTCATGCTATACCTATATACAAGCTATGAGAACAGATGTGTGAGTGAAGCCATAGAACGTATTTGCTTGAAATTTTCTTGAGCAGGGATTTTACAAAGGCCAGAAACATGGACAGTTCACAGGTGTCAGTGAACAGAGCATCTATAGTAAGATAAAGTTTATAAAGGGCATTGGCAATAAACTGTGTTGCAGCTTTTTATTTTCAAGTATTGTAAATATTCTTTCCGCACATTATGTACAGCCTTGGAACACCTTTTAACTAACCCTGGGTGTTTTTTCATTTCATCTGTTTTTGTATACAAACATGTATATGTATATATGTATGTATATATATATATGGTGCTCACTTTAGAACAGCAGTGTTGACCATTTATGCTGCATAGCTGTAAAATAGCCTTATTTAGTTATGTATGTTTGGGTGAACTTTGGGGTGTACAGATGTTAGCTTGAGTGTTGTGGTTTTATCCATTTGTTCACAGGTGAATGATTGTGCATGTGTTGTATGTTACGTTGTCATGTTAAAAGGAGGGAGAGAATAACCACTACTTTGAAATATATTGGACCAAACTATAATAGAATAAGTAACAGTTTCTTGTACCCCTAAATTTGTCTTTACAAGTTGCTTATAGTTACCGTAGCATATAAATTTAATATTGTGGAAAGCAACTAGTCTTGTATTTTTCTGTATGTGTATATAATGTACCTCTAGCAACTTATCTGTATTTAAGACATGACAATCTTGACACAGAATCTTACAAGTAGCAACGAAACTAAGCGGAACAGAATAGAGAAAAGCTACGTGTGTTAGGGAGGGTACAGAAATATCAGTTGACCTTTGTCAGTTTGCTTCCAGAGATGTTTGGCTTTCTTCACTGTATAAACATTCATGGTGTGTGACAAGGGAGGGGGGAGAAATCCAATTAATAAAAATGACCTCTTGATTGGTGCATAATTGACTTTCATGTCAACTTTTTATACTCTTTAATTTAGCTACTTTTTCAGCACTGAGAATGTGAGAAGCTGATCTGCTGTGGCTCTCTACTGTAACAAGTAAAGTAGGATTAATATTACCTGTAACTGATATTTATTCAGCAAGTCCCTGAACATCTGGAAGGCAAACTGTGGCAACTTCCAGGGCACTCTTAGGATGCATTAGGTATTCTCCCCCTTCTATGTGACACTAGTGCCAAGAGGACTTCCATCCTCAACTCCTTCCTGGGTCAGTGCAGAGTTAGAGATATTTAAGAATGTCTTTTTTCTTGACTGTTGGTCACTGCGTGAATATGTGTCTGATTTTTTTTTAAAAAAATTGCAATAGGAAAATTAAAATTTGATCTTATGAACTGTATTTTCCCCACTTGTTCTGGATGTGCCAAAGAAAAACTGGTTCACTCGGATTACTCTTCTCTCTGTGTTACCTGCTTGGCAAATCACACCAGTTATGAGACTTTGCAGAGTCTATAAATAATAAACGTGAAGATATAAGAAGTAAATTACTGAACAAATAAAGCTGCTAAAGCAGTAGGGAAGCGGTAGTTTGTTCTATGTTCATGAATGGGACCATATCCATCAGATTCACCATTTAGGGGAAAAAGGAGTGATTAAGGTTAAACAGTAGCAGTTGTAGCCCCCCAAAAAATCTTGACCTGAAGACAGTTTATAAGAAGACAGCTTCCAAGTACAATAATTATGTGCTATCAAGTCAATTCTGATTTATGGTGACCCTTTCCAAGGTTTTCTAGATACTACTGAGAAATGGTTTACTATTCTCTTTAGGGAAAGCGTGCCCAAGGCTACACAGGCTGGCTTTGCTCCTGGGCAAGACAGGGGGATTGAACCTCTGGCTCCAGAGTCAGGTGCCCAACTCATTGAACTATCCAGCCAGCTATTAAGTACTATATAATGTACTTAACTAACCCTGGGTTTTTTTCACTATATAGTATACTTAATCAGACCATGTCAGAGATTAAATGCATATTTATTGTCACAAGATCAGCGTGTAAGCAACTCATTTGATATTCCAAAGCAGCAGTAAAATAAATTATGTATACTCACAAGCATCATGTGATGTGCCCATAAGAATACAATATATTTGAACATATAAGGCCTGATAAAATGGATTAAGCAGAAAGACCACTATCATAGCTTTCTTGAAACAACCTGACAGTCCATAATTTGTGAACACAACATTCTTCATTAGGAAAACTGTGTTTTTGTTTACATCTTTCCAAAATGCAAGTCAGCATAACTGTAATACAGACATTGCATTTTTTTTCTGTTTATAAACCACATTGTCCCATCCATCCAAAGAAGCTAGCTGTACATATGGGTGGAAATTAGATGAAGGCAGATTTTTCATTATCTGTGACCCTCCTTCAAACAAAGCCTTAGTATTGTCATCAAGCTTGTGCCTTTTGTTGAATTTAAAATGCCAATATGCTCAAGTAATGATAGCAGCCAAATTAGATTCCCCATTTTGTAAGCTAACAATTTATTATAAATTCAACTTCATATGGATATGCTAATATGCTGTTCTGCGATCATAGCTACCTACATGTCTGCCATTGCAAATCCCTCCTCTTGAAGCTATTTCAAATACTGTATATGAAAAGAAATCTAAGCAGCAGCACATTTTTCATCCATTCTGTACTTTCTTTTAACAGGTTCAGTTCTGTAATGCTACAGATTCTGTGTTGGTGAGGAGAACCTCACTTTATACTGGTCTAGATAATCTGGGGTGGTGTTTGACAGTGAATCCTATTTTCTGTAAGTTTATATAGGTTTAAAATCATGATAGTCCTTTACTTAGCAAGTGTGTGTGTGTGTGTGTGTGTGTGTGTGTGTGTGTGAGCGCACGCGCGCACACACGCACACACACACCCTACTCACATCTTTATGTACCAAAGCAATTCCAAGTTTGTGGAATCCAAGAGGTTTCAGCTCAGCATAAAACAGTTAACTAGTTTCTAGACTTGATTCAGTTGTTAATGTGTGTGTCTCAGCTAAAATAATTAAAACATATAAAATGCATTGTATACTATTCCAGTGAACTTATGCAAAAACATATGAAATACAACTTTTCCCCTTAAATGCATGGTCATATTTGTAAAAGGCTCAGTGCACACAAAAACCCCTAAGTAATTTCCACATGATATTAGGAAAGGGCTGAGAAGGGAGGATAGATGAGCAGCTCTTCAAGAAAGACTTCAGAGAAAATCCTCAAAATAAAGAGTTTGTTCCTACTGAAGAACAATGCCTTAGTTGGCATTGTGTGAGAAACAGCTTTTCTTTGATGGGCACTATAATTAGAATGTAATTCAATGTCAGCATTATGAGCTTGGCTGTATCTATTATCCTGGTTGTATAAACGTTATACAGTATATTGAAAAAGATGACAAGCAGTAATACAAGTGGGAATTTCTGGGAAAGGATCTTTCTGAGGATATACTAGCCATGCCAATGCAACTCTACCAAAACATGCAAATAGTAGCTGTTGGGCATTTGCTTCTAACACAAATAGATTCAGAAGGGTATTTTTCATGAGGGCTGAAGCAGGGAAGAGAAGAATTAAATTCTCTGCCACAATCCAGATGTGTCTTATATATGTTTGAAAGCAAATATGGCCCTAATTGGATCTAACATTACACTTGGTTTTGCTCTTAGAAGAGAAAAGGAGTTTATGTAACTGCCTGTGTTCAATGTTACTAAGTAAAATGCCGTGAGGTACTATTTTTTCCCCTTTGTGGTTAGCCATTCAGTGTGAAACTAAGAATAAAAGCAAGAATTCTTGGTTAGGTTTTTTTAATCATGCAGCTCAGTTTTTCAACAGATTTATTTGCCCTGGCTTCCTTTAGTGCAAAAATAATTTAAACAATTATATTACTTGAAGAGTGCAACAATATTTGTGATCTCCTCCAAAGTCAAGAAATGGCAACTTCAGGAAGTACAGAATTGAATATGTTGTGTGTTTATAAACTACTTGAAACAGACTATATTAAATGTAGAATGAGATGATTGATTACATCAGTCATGCTCTACGTCTTTTAAAATTATTTTCTAAGGACCAATATGAAGGCATACTTTTGCTTGTGTAGGATTTATATAGACTGATATCCTGTTGCTTTATTATGTGGACTGAAGGCATAACATTCACTAGCTTCTAGTTGGCAAACAATGAATTGCCACTGAGATTCTTGAAAGCAAACATGCCTGTTTGCTTGGTGCACACCCAAGAATCCCAGCAAGGACTTGTCAATTGCCAGCTAGAAGCAAATGAATGTTATCCTTTTCCCACATCTTGTCTGCATAAAAAAGCAGCAGGATTTCAATGTGTGTATTTGTTCTGATTTCTGTGTAAGCTTTAAAGTAGGCATATTAGTTTCTTTATGTCCCTTAAGTAATAATTGTTGCTAAATTTCTCTCTTAAATTCAGCTCCTTTTATCCATGCAGTGCTGAATGTATCATTCACCATGAACACTGGCAAAAAAAAGCAGGGATTCTTTTCAGCAGGGCGCCTAACTAGGAATGTATACGACTAAATGTAAGCATTTAAAAGTGTTCTACTTCCCAAATAGTGCTGTGTACATAAACAAAAGCCAATCACATCCTGTTCTGCAGACACGTTTACCCAGGAGCTATGTGCCCTGACAACATAGACTGGTTGCTGGGGACACGAAGCCACAATAATTCTGCTTCCTTCCTAAGTGGGAGGAAAGGCCATTTCCTGCTTGCTACTTTTGACATAACCAAAGAACAATATCCACCCTGCATTCAGCAGCCACTGATCATTTGGGGTTAGCAATCTCTCCAGTGTGCTTTGTCAGGTTATTTGCTATTAAGTTGATTCCAACTTACAGTGACCCTAGTAGGGTTTCCAAGATATTTACGGAGTGGCTAACCAGTGCCACATATGCTCCTGCCCCAATAACGTCCCATGACCAAGTGTGGACTTGAACCCGTCTCCTGAGTCCTAGTCTGACAATCATATGTCACTTATTACAAGCAAGGCAATTTCAGAGATCAATTGAAGTGCCAGAACAGTAATCATCATGACATAAATACGTCTCAACAAGTGGATGACAAGGAGACATGCATAGCAATGGAGGCTTAAGCTTGTGTATATATCTAGCAGCATACATTTTGCAAAAGAGGTACAGTGAATTCTTCAATATGGAGTCCATGTTGATCTATAATAGGCTTGTAAAGGTAAAGATAAAGGTTCCCCTTGACAATTTTTGTCCAGTCGTGTTCGACTCTAGGGGGCGGTGCTCATCCCCGTTTCCAAGCCATAGAGCCAGCGTTTGTCCGAAGACAATCTTCCGTGGTCACATGGCCAGTGCGACTTAGACACGGAACGATGTTACCTTCCCACCGAGGTGGTCCCTATTTATCTACTTGCATATGCATGCTTTCGAACCACTAGGTTGGCAGGAGCTGGGACAAGCAACGGGAGCTCACTCCATTGCGTGGATTCAATCTTATGACTGCTTGGCCCGCAGTGCCACCACATCCCTTATGATAGGCTTATAATATGTAATAAATACATGTTTCCAAAAGACATGTATATCTCATAGCCAGAAGCAAGTCATTTGTACTGAAAGCTTTAGTTAAAGCACATATGCATTTGGGAGATGGTTAAGACAACAAAGCTAAGACAAGTTACTCTTTTTAAGACTTCCCAGGCAGCAGGGCCACTGGCAGTTCTGCTGGAGGAGTCTATGAATTATGGACCAAAAAGTAATTTCTTCAAGATCTGTACAGGATAAAAACTGTATTTTCAGTTTTGATCAGTATCTTAGTTAACACAAAATACAGCCTTTCCTCTGCTATGCACCAAAACCAGCACAACTATTATAACAGAGAAGAAAATCTCATTCCAGAGCTGACTTCAAAACATTTCACTGAGAAAGAGGTTCTGCCTGAAGCATAAGCCACATCATAAGAAGCAAAACCAATCAGTGCCCTCTTGCCACATAGTTTAAAAGACCTTGGCTTAAACATCACACCTCCAGCAAAGAAAAACACAGCATCATATGGTACAAACAATACTGTATTTTGGAACCCATGGGGCTGGGAGCGAGGAGAGAGATTCACAATGATCCAATGTTTTAATGACATGCCTTCCTAGACAGATTAAAGTTTTATGTAATGCAGCCTACATTTAATGACAAACCAAAGTAGAAGTCAATGCACAGCAGAAAGGAGATACATGTGGGTTTAATTGTTATCTTCACTGAGATAGAATCAAGATGAATGAGCTGTGTTCCATGTCAAATGAAACTTTTCTGGCTCCATGGAATGAACCATTTTAGTAGGCACAGAGATTTTAAAGCTAAGCACTAACAGTTTCATACAGTATACATTTCTTTAAAAAACACTTTGCATGAGACTGGTCCTATGGGAAAAATTTATACACATTTTACAGTAAATAAGATTTAGATTCATTTCTTCTTAAATGCAGGGAACTATCTAATAAGCTGACTTTAAAAAAATTAGGTTGATTAAATATTCTAGTATGAAGATAAAATTCTTTGCCATGAGGGATACAGGGCTGTGAATTAAGGACTGCTGCCTCCAGAGTGCTTTTAAAAGCTACAGTTTAGGATTACTGGGTGACTATGAATATTTGCATCTGTAAGGGACATTCTGATCAAGTTGGTAGCTGCAGAGCATAACTAGATCTGGCACAGACTTCAATCAGGCTCTATATTTCGTACAGCATGTTGATAACTTTTTTTCTTTCAATCAGGCTTTCAGTGGTGGATAAGAATATGGTAATATTTTCCATGGAGTACTATGATCAAATAAAAATATCAGACATTTTTGTTGTTAATACTTGTATATGCTCTTCCAAAACTGTTCAGATTATCATCCTAGGCTGTTTGTTCTTTCAAGGATTCTGCTGCCAACTTCATTTCCTGAACACAAAAAAATAAGGCATAAAAAATCAAGTTACACACTGCAGGTAAAAAGCAGAAAAACATAGACTACTTTTAATTTAACAAATATCATGCCCCCCCCCAGCCCGGTATTTAAATTATTATTTGAGCTGATAAAAGAATTAGCACAGGTTTTGTGAATTTTACATAATAGGTTACAGTGTAATCCTTTACATGGCTACTTGCAAGTACAAAAGACGCACACACATGCATTACCAATATGCAAGACAAAAAGGTCAACATTTGTATAAAAATTACATATGCTAATTAAAAATAAATGTGCATGCGACAATTTGAATGTACACATGCACATTTAAAATAAATTTAAATACTTTACACCTATGTGGTTCTTTATCTTTAAACTGGCCTTTCAACCAGAACAGTGTTTCCCAATCTTGGGTAACTCAGGTGTTCTTGGACAGCAATTCCTATAAGATTTCACCATCCTCTGTGCTAGGTGAGGTTTCTGGGAGTTGCAGTCCAAGAACACCTAGGTTACTCAAGGCTGAGAACCACTGAATTAGAAGATAAAGAGAATTGTCCTTTAATAACCCTACAGACGCAAGTCCTTTGTCAAGTAGTTCACACAGCTACTATATATTAGTGCAATGAAATGTACTTGCAGTAGACATGTTAGATTGTCATTACAACTGGTTATAAAATCAAACTATTTGCCTCCAGTATAACCTATATGCATAACTTGTAAAAATCAACATGAACACAGGTTCTTACCATACAGTAACTTTGGAATAAATCTATCCTGTTTTCCAGGAAGAACTGGGATTATTTTTAAAAAATCTATGGTGAACTGTAGTGGTGTAACCAAGCCATTTATGCATTGATAAATCAAAATCTGCACTAAACTATAGTTTGATCACAAAACTTTGACAAAAGCGATATGCATAATTACATGTATATATGATGAATATATATTCCTTTCAGTAGCAAAAGCAGAATACCTCTCTGTACAACAGCTACGGAGAAGTAGAAGCAAGAAGTAGAAGCCCTTCATGTCCTGGTTAAACTGTTGAGTACTATGGGAACAGAATGTCAGACTAGATAGGCTTCTACTCTGACCCAACAGTTTGTTGTAGATCTCATTCTCATGACCAGAAAGAAATGCTCTCTGCTCTATCATCTTCTTTTAAATGACAAAGAAAGCCCTTACAGATGTGGGGAGTCCTGCTGCTCAGTCTAAACTGCAAGCAAATTAAAAACAAGCCAGCTATGGAGCTACACTTCATTTCACCTATTAGGGTCTAATCACACCTGCCAAAAGAACTCCAGTTATACTGATTCTTTCCATACCTCTGTTGCACTAGTACATTTATTTTTACGGTCACATGGTGTATATACCAGTGGGAGCAGTCACATTGTTTTTAAGTGTATTGATTCATTTCTTTAACTGCCTCAGGCAGTTAAATTTAGTTCCTGTACGATTTTGTCAGTTGTCTTAGCAACAGAAGGAAAATACCAAAATTTTCTAGAGTTCAATGATGGTGTTCTCCTTTAGGTAGTTCTCTACCTCACTTGGTTTAAAGCCAGGGTGAGAACAACCACTACAGGTATATTAACTAATTGTAAAATTGTCAGAAGAAGGCAGAATACAGTAGCAATGCTGAATTCATCATGACTCACAAACTTAGACTAACCCACTTATCCTGGAGTAATCTTCTCCAGTTCTCAGCCTCACTGTACTGTGAGTTAAGAGAAACAGACAAATAAAAGTGATCTTATCAGCAATGTTGCCTATGTTCATAAAACATGGAAACCAGGCCTGTCATATTTGGTGACAGAAATTTTGTACTGCAACTACAGTACAATATAAAACTGAAGACTCTTCATGGCCCATGTCTTTTTTTTTGCCCAAATCCCACTTTCAGCTTCTACCATCTTCTGCTACTGCTGGAAAATATTCCTGCCTGCAACCCTGCAAAGCTCTGATCCATTAGTGTAGAAAATAATGAGTTAAGTAGGCACTGGTGTGATTCAAAATAAAGCCATTTCCTGTGACTGCTTCCTGGTATTTAAAAACTATCCAGTTTGGCTGGATCAGAACAATGAAAATGGTTTCCTCTTAAGGTAAATGTGACAGTTCTCTGTTGTCTCAGTAACAGTCAACATAAAAATATAATTCCAGTGTAACCTACCGTATTTTTCGCTCCATAAGATGCACTTTTTCTCTCCAAAAAGGTGGGAGGGAAAGTACATGCGTCTTATGGAGTGAATGCAGTAACCCAGGGTTCAGCCACCACCACCCAAAAGCCTCCCACTGCCATGCTGGGAGGCCTCTGAACTGGCAGCAGAGACTGCTTTCTGTTTGGACCTCACCATTCTGCACTGCTAGCTTTCTAGGATCTGCCTCCTGCAGCCCACCTGGAAAACCAGCAAGGCAAACAGGCCTATGGCAGCAAGCAATGAAAATAGCAAAGGACCAAAGAGTGGTTCTAGAAAGACCAAGGTAAACCACAAACACAATCTCCCACTTAGGCAGTTGATTTTCCCACATTTGGGGAAATCACAGGGGTCAGCTCATCCAAAGTGCAACAGATGAGCCTTACCCTGGGAAAACCACTTTTACAACAATGGTATCTCCCCTGCCAAGTCTGAGTTTGAATGGCCCCTAAGCCTCCTGGCCCTTTGTGTGCACTATCCCCCAAAGGCATGGTGACCGCCAGCTGTACCTCCTGATCAGAACAGTGCTGCACAGCCCCAGTCCTGAAAGAGGCCAGGAGAGCTACTCAGTGTTTTGGGGTGCCCCACAGGACCCCCATCAGGGGCTAGATGTTCCTCCCACAATCCTCCAGTGCACAGATATTAGCATATCTGCCTGCTTGCATCACCCAGTAGGCTTCTCTATTGGAGAAGCAAAGCAGGAAGGAGGAGTCTCTTTCCCTTCACCTTCTGCAGAGAAGTTAGACCATGTGACTAGCCAGACATTTTGAGAAGCAGAGAGAGAGAGGGAGAGAGAGAGAGGACAGAAACAAAAGCTTCTAAAATTGGCAGTAACTTAAACAGGCCTGAGAATGGTGAG